AGCTAAAGAGTAATAATTACTATTAGAAAATATTGATTATAGGATCGTATTTATCTCCAGCTAAAAATATTCACGTATGTACAACTTCACGGAAAATTCCATGCGATTTGTTTTTAAACAAACTGATATTTCACTCTGCGACGAAGCGAATGGGAGGTTTTGATTGGCTACGGAGAACGTACAACGGAAATTCCCCTCTACGATGTTTCTCTATAGCTAATCGAAACCTCTCGTTCGCTCTGTTGAAAAATTCAAATTCTCATAATTTCTCGATAAAAAAGGCTTTGGAGAAATGACCGATAAATTACCGGGAATTTCTCTTAGTTTCTGACGTAACTTACTGGATTTAGAACACTATGTAGGCCTGATTTCACAACTCAAGTTAACCGATGTTTAACTAGTTTACACTTGATTTAAACCTGCTGTAAATCAGTTAAACTCCGATTAACTGAAGTTGTATAGCCGGACTTCAAACCCGGTATAAACGTGTTAAACTGCGGTTATCTTAAGCTGTGGAATGGGGCCTACAATCGAAAATTATTATCGTACTTTCGAGACAATCGATAATTCCCATCTCACCGTCGTATCGAATCTACCAAAAACGGTGATATTCAGTCATATTGTAATGATTTCCTATAGTAAATGTTAACCACGAAATGTTTACGTGACATGTCCTCGATACAATACTAGCCTAACGTGATTTTCTCTTGAAATTGAACGGGAATAGAGAATTGTCAACCCTTTCATCTAAAGCTGGACAATCAAAACATACGAGTATTGATAACTATGGCAACAATAGGGGAACCTCTCACTTTAGCAAGAGGTGAAATATTACTTTCAGTTATTTGTTTACAATTTTATATTACAAACTGTTTACTTAACGCACCATCTCATGTAAAATGATACTCTTAAATGTGTTACTTGAGCAATCGTATAAATCAGAAATGGCAAATTTTGTCAAATGTCAATGAATCTAGTTGCTCCAATAAAAATGAATTTAAATGTACGAAAATTAAATCTTGTTTTGCATGGAAGCGATTTTCGTTTTCGGGACAATTATTAATACATTGGTACTTAGTACATTGTTGATGATAGCTGCTAGTACAGCAGATTAAGTACATCTTGTTGAATTGTGCTTATTTTTAAACATTGAATGTCATTGTTTAAAACATCTCAATATGAGGTGAATACAAATCAGAATCTAATCAAAGTACGTAACCATAAGCTACAAAAATTACTTATTATAAACATCGATCATGAATATAATTTTAATTTTGAATATAAATGCTGCAGTTAACATGAATTTCTGCAAGCTATATATACTAAATTTTTTCGAATGACAATTCAGAAACGTTTATATTAAACTTCAAGCTTCAAGTCGCAAGAAATTCTATGATATTGAGATATAAAGTTTAGCCATTGAACATGGCAATATTGTTTTTAATGCATTGAAGGTTATAACAATTTTAATTGTTAAAAGAAAAACATTAGTCTCATTTAAAGACACATTGAAGATAAAAGAACTATTAGAAATAATTATGTTCTTATAAAACTAAAGTATTGTGATCTGAAATTGTTTCTTAAATAACATGAATTAAAAGTCAAATCGCTTATTATATTAACACATTCGTGACTGGCAAATTTTTTCTGTTTCAAATACTGAGTACCAACAAAAATAATGAAATTCTGAAACTGGTTGCCGCAAACTTGTATCGTGTATCGTTATGGACGTGATTCACGTCAGCGGCAATCAGGAATAGAATTTAAAATAACGTGAATTCACATCAGTGGTCACGAATGTGTTAAAAGATTATACCTTTAAAAAATTACGCACGCTTTAGTAACTAAAGCATTCTTTAATTCATAATTACAAATACTCATAAACCATTCGATACCTTTTACCATAGTATCCTGCAAAAGGGGAACAAAATTGAAATACTTTTCAACTATTATTAATTCAAAAAAGTAACTTATGTATTTTATACTACCCAACTGATTAAAAATGTACTAATAATAAAGTAATAAAATTAATGCTATTATGGATTTTCATATTCATTATTATGGTCTATGGTTAATGTTAATATGAGTTTATTTTGTAGATGTACGAAGAGCTATCGAGTTGCTGGATAAGCTACAGAAAGGTAAAGAATCGTTTAAAATACTCACCAATTCTCTGTGATTCTATTTTCAAGTTAAATAATGCACATTTTTAGGTGGAGAAGTACCTACAACGAAACTAGCAGCTTTACAAAAAGTACTGCAAAGTGACTTTCTAAATGCAGTCCGCGAAGTGTATGAACACGTTTATGAGACTGTCGATATTCAGGTAAAACTGTTGTATTAGGCAGTTGGGCCTACTTATTACTTAATCAGTTACAGAATTATGTATATATAAGGTATATTATTTTGTAAAGGGATCTCAAGATGTCCGTGCATCGGCAACTGCTAAAGCTACAGTTGCTGCATTTGCTGCCAGTGAAGGGCATGCCCATCCAAGAGTGGTTGAACTTCCAAAGACCGAAGAAGGTCTTGGATTTAATGTAATGGGTGGAAAGGAACAAAATTCTCCAATTTACATATCAAGGATTATACCAGGGGGAGTTGCTGATAGACACGGTGGTTTAAAAAGGGGTGACCAACTGCTCTCGGTTAATGGAGTGGTAAGAGATACGACATCGTTAACTTTATTATTTAGAAACTCTGACAGATAGTCAAATGCAATTTATGTCATTCTACTTTTGTTTCTTATTTTTGCTGACTTCCGAAACGTTTTTTAATTAAAAATGTTTAACGAACCATCTTATAATTACACGTTCTGTTGATTACAGTGCGTTGAAGGTGAAAATCATGAAAAGGCAGTGGAACTATTGAAGCAAGCACAGAATTCTGTAAAACTAGTGGTGCGTTATACTCCACGCGTTTTAGAAGAGATGGAGCTTCGTTTTGACAAGCAAAGAGCAGCTCGCAGGCGTCAACATGTGCAATAAATAACATGAATTACAGCTAATTATTATTAATTTGTTGGGCGTGACTCGTTTCAATCGTTAATTCAGCTTTTCTCATCTCATAAGACTAATTCTGTTAAGTATTTCTATAATATATTACTTATAGTTTTACTAGAGATCTCTGTAAGTTATATATAAGCATAAATAATACAATATACTATCTGTCTCGTTAAATGACCCCTTATCTCATTTGTATATCATAACAAATTAAATGGTTCAGACATGCCCTATAATTGCATGTTTATACTTTCGATCACATTTCAAACAAACAAACGTAATATACCACCTACTTTAACTAAATGATACCGCTTTTACGTTTGATACAATTTATTAAAAAGTAGAGACTACTATTTGAATTTAATTAATCAATTTCCATTACTGTATTCTACTAGTAAGCCTCTTGAAACTAACAAGGAACGTTTACGAAGTGTTCCTCTCCAATTTCGTTCAATTTCTGATGTTTTGTAGAAAAATATATTTTAAGAAATACGTTTTTTTTTTTTAATGTTTTTTTTTTAATACGTGTCTCTTAGAATATATTTTTTTGACATTTTTTTAACATTGATATAATATGTTACATAACATGTTACCTTAATGAGTGGGAAATAATAACTAACATCTAACTTCCATGTTACTTTTATGGTACATAACATGTTAATTTCGAAAACGTAGCATTTACCCAACAGTTATATAACAGTGTTCACTACGTATCAGAAATTAAACAAAATTGGAGAGGAACACTTCGTGAATATTCCTCATAAATAGGTACACATATGTATCATATTTGTGTTATTGAACGTTTTGGGATTTTATTCTTTTGTAACATCATAAAGTAAATCTGATAAACTAATGACGGAATGAATAACCAATGCTAAAGAGATTTAATTATTTATTTCAGACACTAGTATACTAATGTTCTATTCATTGCATTAATGTCAAGTCAGTGACAAATTCGTATTAAATAAAAACAATTCAAGTTCATTGAACTTACTAAATAATTGTGCACACAGAGCCATAATGTATTGAAAGGCCAAATGTAAAAAGGATAAGTGTCACACTTCATATGATTCTTTTTGCATTGACCCTTTAATTGTTAATTTCATTCATCCTCATCATCGCTGTACACATATATGTAAGGATGACGTTGTATAATTTCAATATCCTTTTCGAGTTGAGACAAAGCCTCTTCCATTTTTGCTTTTCTCTTCGCTTTCGGCGGAGTGTCAGTAAGAAATGGTAAACATTGGAATTGCTTCATCATTTCATCCCATTTTTTCTTCATACCCTGTTGACAAAATATTTTAGTAAAATAATTGTTTTTTGAACTATTTTAAATTTGTATAAAAGTATTCAAAGCGCACGCTTGTTCAAATATGACATATGCATTATAAAAACTCTTTGACTGAAAGAAACTTCTCTTCATAAATGGTTTGGTTTTTTGGCGCATGTTACGGGACGTGTTAGTAACAAAAACACGTATCACCCTAATATTGTACACCTCACATTTTTACAATAAATAACGTGGTAAAGCATGAAAGTAAGGTATTATTTAAATTAACAGACCTCTAACAAATTAGCTCTTTGCTCTTGCGTAATGTAGCGACACAAAGACTGAACTCGCTTAGCTTCTGCTTCATCTTGATCTTTTAAATCTATTCCTTTCTCTCCCATTTCTTTCCATTTCTTTGCTGATTCAATTTTAGAGCCCGTCTTCTTAATGTCAGATTTCTTTTTATCAAGCCATTTTCCACGATCCTATATAGCAAGAACAGAGTGTAAATGAGGAATAGAAAAATAATTATATTATATCTAGACTTAACGCATGATTAATATTTTCTCACTCATCGTACCTCCTTTACCGAAAAAAAAATATACTTCACAGAGGATAAAAGTTAAATTGATTGAATAACACCTTAATTTTCTAAACATTCTGATAGTATGAAATCCCTTATAATTTTCTCATTAACGTTCTTCAATGTTTCCAGAGAACTAATTTAATATTAACCCACTAAACACACTGTTACAATTACATAACACTGGATGATATATAACGATTACTCAAAAAACACATTAATGCATATAACATCGAATTATTACCGTTCCATAACATTGCTACAAATTTGCAAGCATTGAGGTTATATAATATTAACATAACATATAACAAGTTACCAATATGTTATGCCGATATGTTATATGTTACCAGTATGTTACATTCATCATTTTATAACAGTGTTATGTAGCTGCGGAGGAAATACAAATCTTATTTATACGTTATATGTATGTTACATTACATGTTACAAACATTATGTCACGGTTATATTATTGTTATAGAACCGTGTTCTGTAGGAATCCTACTCTCCGAAGTTTCTCTGTATGTTTACATTTTACCCGTCGAAACTGCACACAGACATGTGCGCACAATTGTATAATATATTTAACCATTTTATCTTATTATATATTAACTATGTCGTTGTATACAATATGTACCTTCCTAAAGACGTAAATTGGAAGTAACCCACTAGGTTCCAAATCATGAGAATCGCCGAAACGTGTGTCAACATATCTCTTTTTTGGCTGGCGAGGTCGAGATTTCTTCACGTTTAATATATTCCTCTTTCTGAAATTAACATTAGTCTCAGGCAGTTTGTCTTTGTCGGCTCGTTTGATCGGTTCCCATGATGGTAATTTCCGGGGATATCCAGGCAGTCGAAAATGTATATGTTTCTCCTTTTTCTGCAAATCAATCTCGGATTTGTTCCTACGAAGCTCTCTTCGAACTCTAGCCCGATGAATCGAAGTGTACCTGGAAAATCAAATCAATTATTGCAAAACTAACGCAAAATTCAATAACACGATAGATTCCAAATCATTGTATTCGTTTCAACTCGTAATACTCCGATCATTATTTTCTGATACTATATAACACATTTTGTTACTAATCTATTGCCAATGCAAAAATATCCCTAGCAGCACAAAATATTTGTCCTATATTTTCTATATATATAACGAATATCGCACATTTTGTAAANTTTTCACAGTATTCGGCAGGCATGATGGAATGTCGTTAATTTAATAATGCGCGAAGATTTATTTAAATGGAAGTATGAAGTAGCAACGCAGTTGTGGTAAACGACTTTCTTCATTAAATTAATGTTAGCACGTTATTATTTAATAGAACGTAATTTTGAGAATGCAGAGATACGTGCCTCTGCTATGAACGGTACTTGAAAAACAACTGATACATTCTTAAATCACAACCATCTTGTTTTATTGCGTATACCTGGCAACGAGTTGTATGCCATGTTTGTTCAATACAACTGCCGTATAATGACTATTCGTTACGATGTTTTATAGGTCAGCACATGAAAAGGGGTGAATAAAATACAGGACATTGGTAGATTGCCAATAAACTCCATGGTACAGTTTTTATTTACATTACATTGTTATTAACGAACGCTATATTTTTATACATATATATCTTTCATCCTAGTCGATATTTCCCTAGTAGCATAGAATAATTTCTAAATATTTCTTTGCAATCTTTGCTAAATATCTCAAGCGACAGATTTTT